GCCAGGCAGTGTGCTAAGTGCTTCACATACATTTACTCTTAGAACATTTAATATTTAATACAACCCTTGGATACAAAGATACAACTAAGTTTTCTAAGAATTGGGTAAACTGAGGCCTCTCTGCTAATTAGTGGGCGGGCTAGGATTTGAAGCCAGGTGGTCGGTTTCCAGTGTCCCAGCTCTTCCCCACTGCACTAGTGTGCTGGAATAGGCATGCAGGCACACAGAACCAAGCCCATTGCCTTTGAGGAGCTTCTTGTTTCCTTGGGGAAATAAAATAACTCATAACCTACTATACTCAACAGCCTTGCCTAAGGCTTGCCTAAGGCTCTTATCCAAGCCTGTCAAGTATGGTAATTATTTGATTAAAATGACTAGTGTTGGCCTCCACCTCTGATTCCTGAAGACTCACATACATATGACCCTCATAATTCATTCAGAAGAACTAAGGAAGTTAGAAATGCAAAATCCTTTCCACAGATCATCATCTGTTTTGGAAACATGATTCATAACCCTCTTGGGACTGGAAAAGAGGAAACTGAAAGATCAGAGTAAAAGTGAAAGAAGATAGTGATGTCTACATCTATTCAAAAGAGAGCAGAGGGGACTCCCCTGGTGGTCCAGCGGCTAAGAAACCACACTCCCAATGCAGGGGGCCCGGGTTTGATCCTTGGTCAGGGAACTAGATCCCACATGCTGCAAATAAAGATCCCGCATGCTGCAACTAAAGATCCCACGTGCCACAACGAAGATCCTGTGTGTCGCAACTAAGACCTGATGCAGCCAAATAAATAAATAAATAAATAAATAAATATTTTTTTTAAAAGAGAGAGAGCAGAAGGATTTCAATCAGCGGACCCTCAGGGTTTCCTGGAATGATGACTGCATTGGATTAGAGTATGGGTTGAGAAACACACAAGTAGCAGAAAGTGTAACCACACCCAGTGCACTCAAATGGTTACTTTGAATAAATGGGAGTAGTGGTCCCAGTTCCCCATGGGCTCTAAGAAACAGGGCTTTGTGCAGACAGTGACTGCGCAGAAGCCAAGCCTCTAATTTTTTAGGGCAACTGGCTTTAAGGGTATCTTTTCTTGTTGTTGTTGTTGATTTTTGTTTTTTGTTTTTGGCGGTACGCGGGCCTCTCACTGTTGTGGCCTCTCCTGTTGCGGAGCACAGGCTCCGGACGCGCAGGCTCATCGGCCATGGCTCACGGGCCCAGCTGCTTCACGGCATGTGGGATCTTCCCGGACCAGGGCACGAGCCCGTGTCCCCTGCATCGGCAGGTGGACTCTCAACCACTGCGCCACCAGGGAAGCCCCTAAGGGTATCTTAATCACCTCCTCTTCACCGCATTGGTAAGGGAGGGATTCCCACCCTAGGGGTATGGGGATGGCTGAACATATGACACCCAGCACTGGACAGCTGAAATTGACAGCAGTTCATTGGTCACATATACTCACAGCACAGGGAAGAAGGACACCACACGCCCTGCAGGGTCACATGGGGGTAGCGTTTAGGAACAGAGTGAACAACCAGAGGCAGTGGGAGGCAAGCTTGCTTTGTAGTATCCGGAGGGTGAGGTGTCCTGTGGTTCCCACAGGAGAATGTCGTTGGCTCTTTTGGATAATTCCATGGCCTGGTGGGGAATGCAAATCCACTATGCAGGGATCAGCAGAAACTGCATCTGGTCCATCTGATGAGGAAGGTTGTTTAACTAGGTGACATTTTCAATCAGACCAAGAAGAAAAACTTGCAGTTAAGCCAAACTAGGCCTTCCTGATTTCACCAGATGTTAAGGCAGCACGTAATATTAGACCTTGATTTTAGGCCTTACTCCACAGGATGGAATGCATCTGTGGGCTCTGTTGACTGCCCCTTGTCTCTAGATTTGGCACATTCTTGACCCTGACCCAAAGCTCAACGAGTGTTCTCATCTCCACCAACTTGGGACAGGAGATATTCTAAAAATCAAGGCATAATGGGAATTCCCTGGTGTTCCAGTGGTTAGGACTCGGTGCTCTCACTGCCGGGAGAGGAGGAGCAGGAGAGAAAAGAGAATCAGTCCATTTTGCTGCAAATCTGGGACATGTGTTTCACAGAGTAGGGAAAGACTGAAATGAAAATTAAAACTATGTCTACCACCACTCTTGGCGATCAGAATGATCTTTTAAAAATGAAATATAATCTTACCAGGCTCCTACTTAAAACCCTTCATTGAGTCTCCATTGGTCTTTCTTAAGATAAAGACAAGACTCCTTGCCATGACCTTCAAGGCTCTATGCAGTCCAACCCCTGCCTGTCCAGTCTTATCTCATTCCTTACTTCCCCATACTATTTATGGAGCAGGCATACAGGTCTCCTTTAAATTCTGAAAACCTTCTATGCTTTTTGTCAGCCCCAGGACCTTTGCACATGCTATTGTCTTGGCCTAGAATGCTCTTTCCTCCCCAACTCACATAGTTATCTAGAACTTATCTGTCAAATTTCAGCTGAAGAGCTTCTTCCTCAGGGAAGATTTCTCTGATTTCCCCAAATAGGTCAAGTTCCCCTATTATAGGCTCTCAGAGCATCTTTTACCTTCTTCATCATGATACTCATCATAAGTTATAAGTTTATATTTGTTTGAATTATTTGATTAATGTCCATATCCTTACATCTCCATGAGAGTGGCAACCTTATTTATCATTGATCTCTAGTAAGTGCCTAAAAGAAAACTCCTGTTTACCTATAATCTACTCGTAACACTTCTGACACCAAATGTGCGTGGGGTTTTCCCACACCAACCAATTCTCCAACTCTCCAGACACCAACTGGGCGTCTTGCAATTCAATTATGACATTAATTACCTGGAGTTAGCATAGACCCCACAGGTTAAGGGTTCAGTCCTGCAAGATTGTCCCCCACTTCAGACACCAGTCATGTCCAGGGTTGTCACCTGTACTTCTGACCAACTGGTTATAAATTGGGGGTTCCTATAACCCCCTCTTCAGGTTCAGTAATTTGCTGTAGTGGCTCATAGAACTCAGGGAAACACTTACATTTACCCATTTATTATAAAGGATATGTTAAAAGATACAGATGAACAGCCAGATGAAGAGTTACATAGAGTGAGGGCCAGAAGGGTTCTGAGTGCAGAAGCTTTTGTCCTTGTGGAGTTGGGGGTGTACCACCCTCCCGAAATGTGGATGTATTCATCAATATGGAAGCTTTCTTAACCCCACAGTGTAGGGATTTTTATGGAGGCTTTATCACATAGTCAAAATCGATTATTAACTCAATTTCCAACCCCTCCCCACTCTAGAGGATAAGGTGGTAGGACTGAAAGTTCTAAGCTTCTAATCATGGCTTGGTCTTTCTGGTGACCAGCTCCCTTCCTGAAGTTATCCAGGAGCCCACCAAGAGTGGTCTCATTAGAACACAAGACAGTTCTAAATTCCAGGGGATTTAGGAGCTCTGTGTTAGGAACTGGGGGCAGAGACTAAAAACATATCTTTGTATGTCAAAGTGCCTCAGTGCGTATATGTTGAATGAATGTGTCAGTGAATGAGCTAACTGATTTGGGGATCTTCTGAGAAAAAGTAAAAGGAATACTTCGGTAAACGCGAATTACACGTTATTTTTTTTTATTATCAAAACTGTTAAGACATCTACATTGCCAAGCTAGAATTAGGAAGGGTTTTAAAAATGGTTCCTTCTAAAGAGAGGAATGCAAGTCCATAACCAATGCTACATGAAATCAGGCAGTGTTACAAGAAAGCAGATCTCCGGTACAGAGATGAAACAGTGAATACTGTGCAATTACTATAACAGGAGAATGGATTTAAGTACAAAAAACAGATCTTACAAAATGTGACTTTCCTTGGGATGCCTTTGGCGATGACACTATTTTCTACTGTAGACCAAAAATAAGAATATAAATGTGATGCATGCTGTTGTAGGAAGTGTCAGACATTTTGCACATAGTTAATAACACATCACCCTCTCACCTTCTCACCCAGAGCATCTGGGAAAGGTGAAAACAACAGGTGGATCCAGTGATTATTTGTCATTCCAAATGCTGACTCCGTCTGGGGTCTCCACAAGGTGATAGAAACACACTAGGGGGGAAGGCATCAAAAAATAACATATGAAGGCTCAGAGGCTATCAGAATGGAAATCTGTAGCAGTTACATAGAATTCTTGGAGTAAAAAATTTCACTTCTGAAGAAGTCATATATAATTCACTTTTCAAAAATATCTCTGAAAGGTAGTAAAAATGAGAGTTAAATCTGGCCCAGTTAACTTGATTCCTGAGTTTAAAGCCAGATGAAATCCTGGGACCAGAAAAGAAGGTTTTTGTTCATATTATCTTACATTAAAACAGTAGAAAGCTGATGACTTTTAAAAAGTGTCAAAATGGTAAATCTTAGAATATGTATTAAAAACTCACAGATCCGGGGCTTCCCTGGTGGCGCAGTGGTTGAGAGTCCGCCTGCCGATGCAGGGGACACGGGTTCGTGCCCCGGTCTGGGAAGATCCCACATGCCGCAGAGCGGCTGGGCCCGTGAGCCATGACCGCTGAGCCTGCGTGTCCAGAGCCTGTGCTCCACAACGGGAGAGGCCACAACAGTGAGAGGCCCGCGTACCGTAAAAAAAAAAAAAAAAAACAAAAAACTCACAGATCCTTCATTAGTCACAATTTTGAATAATGTTCTCTATTTATTCTTTTTTTTTTTCTATTTATTCTTTAAAATAGTTGTCATTAAGAAATAGTCCGAAAAAAAAAAAAGAAATAGTCCGTTCTAGTGCCAAAACCTTGAAACGGAAATCCTGCAGGAGGATCCGAAAACCTGCTATTCACTTATTTTTTTTTTTTTTTTTTTTTTCGGGGCACCGGGGCCTCTCACTGTTGTGGCCTCTCCTGTTGCGGAGCACAGACTCCGGACGCGCAGGCTCAGCGGCCATGGCTCACGGGCCCAGCCACTCCGCGGCATGTGGGATCTTCCCGGAACGGGGCACAAACCCGTGTCCCCTGCATCGGCAGGCGGACTCTCAACCACTGCACCACCAAGGAAGCCCTAAAATAACAATTTTTGTTCTGTGGGTTCACTGGGTAGCTCTCACTTGGGTTGTCTGATGCAGTTGCAGTCGTATGTTAGCAGGATCTGGAATCATCTGAAGGCTTCTTCTCTTCCATGGGCTTGGATGGCTTGAATGCTGGGGGCATCTTTCCTCTTCACATGGCTGCTTGGGCTTCTTCACAGCAGGGTGGACTCAGGATAGGCAGATTTTTACATGGGAGCTTGCTTCCTCCACAGCAAGAGTTTCAAGGGACAGGAAGTGGAAGCTGACAGCATCTTAAGACCAAGACCCTGAACCTGACACAGCATCACTTTATCATTGGATAAAGTGATCAGAGCTGCCAAGACACAAGGGGAGGAGATATAACCCCTCAGGTCCTATAGGACAAATGCCAAAAAATTTGTGCCAAAACTTTTAATCCTCCCCATTCTTTAACCAGGACCCAAGGGTTTGTTGATAGTTGGACATTATCCTAGTCTCACCTCAAAATGAGCTGCTTCACGTTCATGTAGCTCTTTATGCGTTAATAAGAGAGTTTGTGTACACTGTCTCAATTTGCTCTCCTAATATCCCTGTGAAACAATAGATTGGATAATAAGGCAACTGAGGTACAGAGGTTAAAGGCCTAGGATCACACAACTTCCTAGGGATAGAATGGAGATATAAATCTGAATCTCTTGACTCTCAGTCCATGCTGAGGGATTCTAGTTTAGTTGCTGTTTGTTTACCCCGGTCACTTTGCTCTCTGACACAAACAGAGCTGGGGGAGGAGGAAAGCACATTTCCCTTTGGCTGAAAATCTGGACACACATCTTTGCAGGTGAAGCTCAAGGTGCAAGCAAAGGCAAGGTTATATGACTGCTCAGCACATCAGTAAGGACTCTTGAAGCCACTGTACTGGTCTTCCCTCTTGGGAAACTCTCTCCGGATCCTCCAGCGGCAGCAGCTGGGCAGGATGGCAAAGTCAGCCATGTCCTGGGAGCCAAAGCGCCACATAGTATAGCACCTGTAGGCGCAGTGCCGCAGCTGGCTGTTGGTAGAATCTGCATCCAGCACCAGCAAGGGCTCCTGGTAGTGCAGGAGGAACTGCAGGACATGTCTGGACAGGATAAGCTTCTTGAACGGCTCTGAGGTGGTGATACAGGCACCCTGCTTTTTCCGACAGCACAGCTCCTCCAAGCATCTTTGTCTCTCAGGGAGTTGGGATGGGAGGCAGTTTCCGCACTGGCACCAATTTGGGCAGTCACTGGATCTAGGGGTTGCCCCTTCACTGAGCAGCTGGATAGCCTCTGGTTGTCCAGGAATGGGGGGTGGCTCGTGAAGAGACAGAGGCAGCCTGGACAAGTCTGTGAAGTCCATCGGGGGTCTCTGAAAAAGGCAAGTTTCCAAACCCATCAGCACTGACAACCCCTAGGGTTCTAGGTTCTTTAACTTTATTATTAACTTGTAAAATTACATTTAATATTACATTAATACTAGTAGCTATCATTTATTAAATGTATATATCAGGACTGTGTTTTGCAAGCACTGCCTCATTTAAGCTTTTGGAGAACCTCGTGAGATATGTGTTCTGATCTCCATATTACAGATTTGGAAAGTGAAATTCAGAAAAGCCAGGCCTCAATACATACATCTCTTCGGAGAGACCTTCTTGCCTTGACCACCTGATATAGGTAGTTCCCCTCCTCGCAGGTCATTCTCTTATCACATAATGATGTTCTATGTTTGTTAGGAGGAAATGATCTTATGAATTGATTTGTTTACTTAATGATTCTTCTTCCACATGAAAGCAGGGGCCCTGTTTGCTTTGTTTACTGCCTGCATTCCCAATGCCTAGGACAGTGCCCACACATAGTAGACAGTAAATATTTGTTGACTTAGCTCTGCTTTCTCCTTTCTCACTCACCATGCTCTCTTTTCTGAAAAAATCCATTTGTTATCCTCCAGTGCAAGTTGCCATAATTGCCATCATTTTTGTCTATTCTTTGTGACATATACCTTCATTCACCAGACAAAGAAAGTCTGAGTTAAGTACATTAAAATTGAATGGTTCTTGTACATGAATGTTCACGGCAGCACTATTATAATAACCAAAGGGTGAAAATAACCTAAGTGTCTGTCAATGGATGAATGGATTAAAAAAATGTTATGTTCATACAATGGACTATTATTCAGCTATAAAAAGGAATGAAGTGCTGACAAATGCTAAACATGGATGTTTAGCCAAACATGGATGGAACCTTGACATTATGCTAAATGAAAGAAGCCAGACATAAGAGGACAAATATTGTATGACTCAATTTACATGAAATGTCCAGAATAGGTACATCCATGTATACAGAAATCTACAGAAAGCAGATTAATGGTCGCCAGGGGCTGGGGAGAAGTGAGTGAGTAGTGGCTGCTGAATGGATATAAGGTTTCCTTTTGGGGTGTGAAAAGGCTCTGGAGCTAGATAGTGGTGATGGTTGCACAGCATTGTGGATATACTAAATGTCACTGAACTGTACACTTTATTTTTTTTCCTCTTTGAAAAAATTATGTATTTATTTATTTATTTGGCTATGCCAGCTCCCAGCCGCAGCACACGGGATCCTCGCTGCAGCATGCAGGATCTTTAGTTGTGGCATGTGGGCTCTTCCAGTTGCAGCATGTGGGATACATCTCCCCGACCAGGGATCAAACCCTGGACCCCCACATTGGGAACACGGAGTCCCAACCACTGGACCACCAGGGAAGTCCCTGAACTTCACACTTTAAAATGATTAAAATGGTAAATTTTAGGTTATGTGTATATTACCACACCCACCCCAACACACAGGAGTTCACTTTATACCCAGATCTGATAAAAACATTACAGGAGTGGAAAAATTTTGGCCAGACTCTCTCAAGAAGAGATGTAAAATTCTTAAATATTAGGGAATTGAATCCAGCAGTAAATACAAAGAATCATACATCGCACTCAAACTGATGTTATTGCAGATTCCTGCAAGGTTGGCTTAATATTTGAAACCCAATCAGTGTAATGCACCACATGACAGAAGAAAAGAAAACTCATTGATTATTTGGAAAGAAGCAGAAAAAACACGTTATTTTAAAATTCAGTATCCGTTCATGATAAAAATTCTTAGTAAACTAGGAGCAGAGGGGAATTTTCTTAATCTGATAGAGCATTCTTTAAAAACGTACAGCAGGGACTTCCCTGGTAGTCCATTGGTTAGGACGTGGCACTCTCACTGTGGTGGGCCGGGTTCAATCCCTGGTCTGGGAACTAGGATCCCGCAAGACGTGGGGTGAGGCCGGAAAAAATAAAAAGACCTACAGCAAGTACTATAGTGAAGTAAAAAACTTTCTTTCTGACATAGGGAATGAGATAAAGATGCTTGGTCTTATCACTTCTATTCAGTATTGTACTGGACATCCTAACAGGTGTAATAAGCTCCTGGAGCTGGAAGAAGCAAGAAAGGAGCCTCCCCTAGAGCCTTCAAAGGGAGTACAGCCCTGCTGACACCTTGATTTCAGAATTCTGGCCTCCAGAACTGTGAGAGAATAAATTTCTGTTGTTCCAAGTTACCTAGTTTGTGGTCATTTATTATGGCAGCTGTAGAAAACTAATGCAGTTAGTGAAGATGTCCAGCAGCCAAAACTGATGGGGGGAATGTGAATTAGAACACCACTTCAGGGCTTCCCTGGTGGCGCAGTGGTTGAGAGTCCGCCTGCTGATGCCAGGGGACACGGGTTCGTGCCCCGGTCGGGGAAGCTCCCACATGCCACGGAGCAGCTGGGCCCGTGAGCCATGGCCACTGAGTCTGCGCGTCTGGAGCCTGTGCTCTGCAACGAGAGAGGCCACAGCAGTGAGAGGCCTGCGTACCGCAAAAAAAAAAAATGAACACCCACTTCAGAGAACTGTTAGGTGGTATCTACTAAAGCTGAACACACACCTGCCTTATGACTTAGCAGTTCCACCCTTAGGTGCCATACGTTTACTGTAGCAGCATCATTGGCATGAACCCCAAAGTGGAAACTACCCAAATAGGTAGTTCATTCAACAATAGAATGGATAAATAAATTGAATGTTTATAAAATGGAAATTATACAACGAGAATGAACCATTGCTATACACAACATCATGGATGACTCTCACAAAAATAATATTGAGGGAAGGAAGCCAGACACTCAACAGAGTATGTAATGAATACATACAATAGGATTAAAATTTTTAAAAAATTATAAAAATAAAAATAATTTTTAAATAAAAAAATTCTAGAAGAGGTAAAACTAACCGTGAATACAGGATAATGACTACTTTTAAGGGAAGGTAGTAATTTGGAGGCATAAAAGGGACTTCTGCTAGTAATAGTCACTTTTTAAAACTGGGTGCTTGTTACATGTGGTTTACTTTGTCATCAATTGTGATTTATACACATTTCTAGATATATTTATATTTAATAGTAAGTCTTGGTCTTCCCTGGTGGTGCAATGGTTAGGAATCCGCCTGCCAGTGCAGGGGACACGGGTTCGAGCCCTGGTCCGGGAGGATCCCACATGCCGCGGAGCAACTAAGCCCGTGTGCCGCAACTACTGAGGCCCGTGCGCCTAGAGCCCGTGCTCTGCAGCAGGAGAAGCCACCACAATGAGAAGGCCATGCACCGCAACGAAGAGCAGCCCCCGCTCGCCGCAACTAGAGAAAGCCAGCACGCAGCAAGGAAGACCCAATGCAGCCAAAAATAAATAAATAAAATAGTAAGTTTTCTCTTAAAAAAGAAAAAAAGACTACAGGAATTTGCTGGCGGTCCAGTGGTTAGGACTCTGCGCTTCCACTGCAGGGGACACGGGTTCGATCCCTGATTGGGGAACTAAGATCCTGCATGCTGCGTGGCGTGACCCAGAAGAAAAAAAATAAGACGAAATAACTTACTGGCACTTCTTCACCTTCAACATCTTGCAGACTTCTCTCAAGTAGCCTTTGGTTTACCATCCTAATGTGGGGTTCATCCACAAAGGACACATATTTTAATGTCTAGGAAATAAAGATTAAAATGTTACCAACTTTAGTTCAGAATTATCACGAATTGCATATCTGAACATATCTAAAGGCAACTGTTATTCCTATTTCCAAATGACAACCTGTTACACAAGCTAACCAAAAACTCTTGCTAACAAAGAAAGAATGATTCCGAGTCTAAAGGTAAATCAGAAATTGATCCCCAAGCACCTTAATTTGTAGATTTAGAGTATCCACAGCTTACTGCCTAATATCTGTAGGTCCCCCAAGTGCTATGTAAAATTCCTTTGTTGTGTTCCCTCAATTTCAGTTACTCTAGGTTGAATATCTCCAGAAAGTTATACTATTGAATCTTAAATTATTTATATTTTCATTAAATTTCATCCCATCTTGGGCCATGAAATGGTGATTAATTTTAGTTGCGAAGATGAACTTTTACTTTAATTGCAAATACATGTACAATGAACAATGAATTGTGCATTCAGCTGCTAAAAAAGGACAGCAATGTTCTTGGATAAAAGAAAGAAACCCTCTGTTGTTTTTAAATACCAGAGATTTCTCTTTGATTGGAGGAAATCATGGAGTCAATGTAGTAAATTCCAAATTAATCAAACCAAAACCATACAGGTGAACTAAAATTTGACCACTCTGACCACTCCCCCATCCTAGGCTCCTTTCCAGAAGCAATCACTGTTATCACTTTTTGTGTGTGTGTGTGTGGTACGCGGGCCTCTCACTGTTGTGGCCTCTCCCGTTGTGGAGCACGGGCTCCGGACGCGCAGGCTCAGCGGCCATGGCTCACGGGCCCAGCCGCTCTGGGGCATGTGGGATCTTCCTGGACCGGGGCACGAACCCGTGCCCCCTGCATCGGCAGGCGGACTCTCAACCACTGCACCACCAGGGAAGCCCCCACTGTTATCACTTTTATGAGTGTCCAGCACCTTTTTTTATACGTATATTACCTCCCCACACACATTTATATGTGTGTGTGTATAATACATGTAGAAAATATACAGAATCTATATGTGTGTGTATATAAATGGACATATATAATATACATGTAGAAAAAACATAGAATTAGTTTATGTGTATTGTTGCTTTTTAACCTATATATCATACCATATATATTGTTCCATAGTTTGCTTTTTTCCTGTCAACAAATGTCTTGGATATTTGCTCATGCCAGTACCTATAACATAGTGGTTATAAACATGGATTCTGAAACCAGCCTGCCTGAGTTGGAATTTCAGCTCTGCCACTTACTAACTCTATGACTTTGGGCAAATTATTTAACCTTCCTGTGCCTCAATTTCCTCGTCTATAGAAAGAGATAATAATAGCACCTATCTAGAGTTCTGCTAATAATCATAATCCCATAAACCTACCTGTAGGGTTGTGTGAGGATTCAGTGAGTTAATGTATACGTAGCACTGGAAATGCTATGTAAACGTTTGCTTTTATTATAATCTACCTCATTTTTAAAAACTGGTACCAGGCCTTCCTTACTATGGATTTATCATAATTTATATCACCATTCACCTATTGGACATTTGGGCAGATGCTCCCCTTCACTGTCACAGACAGCACTGTGATGGACATCTGGTACATGTGTACTACGTGGGTACCCATGTGAGTGTTTCTCTAAGGCAGGTATAGAGAAGTGGAAATGCCAGGCTGTAAAGTATGTCCCATTTAAATGTTACTAGATTTACAAATTGTTCTCCAAAGTCATTATACTTTTTTTGCACAACCAATTTAATAAATCTGACAAAACTGACAAATCCTGGAACATAAAAATTTGTTTTCCCTATATCTTTCTTCTCCATTTTTGTGTCTATTCTTCACTAAAATTAAAGGATTCATCTGAGAGATGGTGGATTGGGGTAGAGTTCAGAGAATTATCCACCATGGGATTGATTACACCTATGATTTTGGCCTTATTTTTTATTTATTTATTTATTTATTTTGCGGTACGCGGGCCTCTCACTGTTGTGGCCTCTCCCGCTGCAGAGCACAGGCTCCGGACGCGCAGGCTCAGCGGCCATGGCTCACGGGTCCAGCCGCTCCGCGGCACGTGGGATCTTCCCGGACCGGGGCACGAACCCGTGTCCCCTGCATCGGCAGGTGGACTCTCAACCACTGCGCCACCAGGGAAGCCCTTGGCCTTATTTTTGCAAACTTCTCCGTGGTCCAGTGGGCCATACAGGTGTTTTAACATCCCATAGACACAGCAAGCCTTACCTGCTTTGGCTCCACAATGGATTCACACTTCTTCCTGTAGTAGTATTCATTGACTGCACAGGGTTCACAGCACTTGCAACAGGGATAAATACGGGATCGACAGCATTTATTTGAGTAAGTGTTGATGAGAAAGTCAATGAACACAGTGCCCTGGGAAAAACCCAGACAAGCACCATGTCAGTGAAACTTCCTTTTGCCAAATCATTTTCATAAAATGTGAGAAAGAGAATCCCTTACCAAACCAAAGTAAGAGAGGTTTGAACCGATGTACACGATCAGCTGAATAATGTCAAATTTTCCTCCCTGGAAACAGAGTACAAAAGGTTACCCGGTTGAAATTCAGAGCAATGCTCTTTTGCTCTAACATGTAATTGTAAGTTCCAGCAGAGGAGGGAGTCTAGTGCCGTGAATTTGACAGATGCATTCAAAGTGTTCACGGCAACAAAGATTAAGGAGACTGAAAATATGAATCCCATTCTTCCTGCTTCTGCCTTTCAGGATGTGCTTGAAAACATGGATGTTTTAAACAAATAAGCACTGGAACTCACACATTGAGAGGAGAACCATTGAAAGTTTTTTATTCCATTCAAGGTGAGGGTTTCAAAAGAGCTTTCCCTAAAAGTGATTTGAGATTACTTTGGAAACAGAGGGAAGGAATGTCTGCACAAACTCTTCCTATAGATGTCCCTGTGGTTTTTATTCTCAGTGTCTTTGTGTCCTCTCACTATATCTCATCGATTCTTGTGCTGCTTATCACCATGTTACATAAATAATACGCTGTCAGACAAGGTATGTGGGCATCTGTTGATTTTTGCATACCCAGCATCCCCTCCTTCTGGAGACAGCATGCCCGTTTTCCTTTGGAGAACCATCTGTGTCCATACTCAGTCCATGTAGTTTGCGGGGAAGGGACTGGTTCAGGGCTGATGTAAGACCAGCCATTGCGAGTGACCCTGGTCACAGTTCAGCAGTGAGCATCTGGCCCACATTGGGCCAGTCAAAGCCAGTGGCATCTGCTGAAGCTTTTGCTGAGATGTTCTCTTTTCACTGAGGTTGCTAAATTGCTAAGGTATGAGTAGCCGCTGACACCACTGCATAAGATGACCCGCCGTGAATGACACCAAAACAGAGGAGGACAAATGTAAGAGATGGAGGGAGGCAGGTTCCTGATGATGTCGTTAAGACATCTGGATTCATGATGCCCGAAGCCTGAAAATTGCCTCTGGATTTTTCAGTTATGTGAACTAAAAAAAAAAAAAAGTCTTCTTTTTTCCTAAGCCCATTTGAATTGGATTCCTTACAAAGTATTTTGCAGAGGGATTTCTTTCTCTCTCTTTTTTAAGCATCAGAGTATATTGAAAATTGAGTATTAGGTTTTCTCCCCAAGCCCACTCTTGTACTCATTAGATGACTTGTCCAAGAACAAGAACATTTCTTCCCCCTCTCTGATCCCACATGCAAGATGCACAGTGCCAGCTAACGACTATGACCAAAACATTCACCCTTTGAGACACTACAGCAATAATTAAGACACAGTCATAGGAACGGAGATGCCAGTGGCTGAAAGCGAGAAGAGACTTACGGTGCCAAAAACCAGGATGTCAAAACGGATCCCAAAGGCTTTTATCAGGGTCCGCTTTTCGGTATTATTTTCCTTATAGTACTTGGCATATCTGTAGGAGGAAAAGGATACATATTTATAAAGATCTCTCTGGAAGTGCTGGTATTTTATGAAAAGAAAAACCGAACCAGTAGCCGATCTAGTCTTCTTTGTCCGTCTTCTAGCTCTGCTCTGGTTGGCAAAGGAAAGAACACAATCCAAACCCATGAAATTCTCTGTCTCTTCACCTTGAACCAAGGCACCACTTCTCCACGTCACCTTCTCTACTTCCAGCATCACAGGATGATGGAAAGTCTGTGTTTTAGTTTAAGATTAAAATGAACAATTTTTAACCAATACAGGGTTAACAACAAGAGAAATTTAAAAAAATAACTTCAAGCACTCTGATCATTCTCTAAGAGGGAAAAGTTTAGCTTCTAGAACAAAGAGGGGGAGGGTGAATCTTAGATACTAATGAATGGATTGGGAACAGGTGCCCCTCAGCAATCTGCTCTAACTGTGTTTTCTTAAGATTCTGTATTTGTCTGTTTGGCATCCATTATCACCAGGGCCAAACTAGCAGGCAATGTTGTTTACATGCCCCCTGCCATCCAGCTTTTGCAAGTATGTGAAAATCATGTTACAAACCCTCTGACCAATCCTGAGTCCATATCTCCAGCCACCTTCTGTATCTAACTTTCACACACCCAGCCGACATTTCCCCTGCCCTAACTTGCCCAGGGCCAGGTACCAGACAACCAGAGACAACCCCTGTAGCCCAGAGCCCACCAACATTACTCAAACTAGCCAATCCTAAGCTGTTTCCCCTGCCCTGCCTTTCCTTTCCCACAGAAAACACAGTAAAGGCTCTGGGCTGTGCTTTCCCCTTTCTCCTGCTAACCCCTGACCAAACCTGGTGCTTCTCCCTGTGGCCCTGTGTGACCTGGTGTGCCCCACCTCTCGGGAAATTCTTCTTTCAAGGGCATTGACTTCTCTGTGTTACTACTCAGTCACCTTTATAAATTAAGACCTGGGCACAAATCACAGTCACCCAAAATATGCAGCCCTCATCAGTGCTACAGTCAGGGAAAGTGTCATGTTTTGTTTTTCATGAATAATTAGGAAGGCTTAAGCCACAGGCCTCACAAAACTTTTAAATCTGACCCTCCCTCTTACCACTTTTGGTGGCTGTTTTTAGGCAAGGACATATATTTTCTTTGAGTTATTAATTCATAATCTATTTACAGGTGTGGGGAGAGAAGAAAACAGAAAACAGATGCTCTGCCAAAATATGGTTTGGAACATCTGAAATTCTTATTCTTTTTAAACTCACGATCTGACATTGAGATCAGTTAGATATTCTCAGGCGCTTCAGTGCCTGTTTCTAGCCAAAGGGGTTTCAGTTTCTTTGCATCTGATTGTTCTCACTCCATGACAGTACTTTCTTCTGCTCTATTAATTGATTTGTTTTTTAAAATACAAAGCAAGCATGCATCACCGCTCCATGCCTCAGGGTTGCATTATCTCTCTATGCAAGCTGTTTTGCTGGAAGGTTAACACTGTATAGTAAATACTTGAATTTCTGCTTTCAGCGTCTTTGTACAGTGGGTCTCAAACTGAGGGCAAGAATCACTTGGGAAGTGTGTTCAAAAGGCAGATTCCTGGGCCTCACCCCCAAAGGGTGGTTTCAAAAGGTGTGAGGTGTTTCTAGGAATCTGTATTTCCAGGAAAGGTACCAGGTGGTTCTGAGGCAGGTGATCAGTGGGCCACACTCAGAACACCAGGCCCTGGGCAAGGATGTTTTTACACTCTGTAGTGGGTTGAATAATGGCCCCCCAAAAAGATAAGTCCAAGTGCCTAACCCCTGCACCTGTGAATGTGACCTTATTTGGAAATAGGATCTTTGCAGATGTAAATGAGTTAAGGATCTCAAGATGAGATCATCCTGGATTTAGGGTGGGTCTTAAATACAATGGCTGTATCCTTATAAGAAAAAGGAAAGGGAGAGTTGAAACAAACACAGAGGAGAATGCCATGTAAAGACGGAGGCAGATACTGGAGGGATGCAGCCACAAGTTAAGGACCACCTAGAGCCAGCAGAAGCTAGAAGAGGCAAGGAAAGATCCTCCCTTAGAGACTTTAGAGGGAGTATGTTCCTGCTGACACCTTGATTTTGGACTTCTGGCCTCCAGAACTGTGAGAGATAAATTTCTGTTGTTTAAAGCCATCAAGTTTGTGGTAATTTGTTATAGCGGCCATAGGAAATGAATACACACACACACCCATTCTGAGAAGCAGAGAAGCACATCAGGCATTCTGTTCTGTGTGGGTCTTCCCTGCTTTACACATCTTGTAAATAAACTGAATAATTGAAAAAGGATCTTTTGCCATGGATCTTTTGGTAAAGGACAAAATTCTGCAACGTGATCAACTCCTTCAACTTCCTATGTTTTAGAAATTTATATTTTCTCATAAACCTCATATAACCTCTAACATCCTTCCCTTTTGTGTGGCTATTTGGCAATAACTTGTCCAGTTACCTGTCAGATCTTGACATTTTATTTTTGGCTAAAGATTTCTTCTGGTGCTTATTCCAGAGAACCAATGCTCTAAAACTTTGTTCTAGAAGAATATTAACATCACAACCAGTTCTTCAGAAAGCTCAGATCTCTCCATGAGCTAATGTTCTTAGGCTTAGCTCAGTGACTTGAAGAACATTTGATAACATCTGATTGGTACATTGCCCTGCATGCGTCCGCTGATTGCTGTAAAAACAGCCTGTGAGGGCAGTCGGGGACCACTGATCCAGGCCTCTCTTTTTGCTAATGGCCACAAGCCTATTCAGTAGAGCAGCTGGGAATGATCAAAACATTACCTAAGCTAGGAGCTAGTTTCGGGGCCCTGGATGGAATTCCACTGACCCGGAGAAGGCAAAATCCTCTTACATCTTGATCTCAGCCAGCCTTTAGCCAAGGGTCTCAAACTCAAATGCCTATAGGGGCCAGATAACAGAAATGAGTGATGCAGCCAGGTAAGAGGCAATAAGGAGTGGTGAGGACCATGGCAAACCAAGAGCCACATGGCCTTTCTAAAGGGAACCACTGATACTCAGCTCTAGCTGAGTGCTCCCTGTGGAATATGAAGCCAGTGTTGTCAAATGGGTTGATTTTTTTCAAATAGTTTAATTTTCAAAAAAAGTAGGAAGTCCATATTTTTACATAGAATGTCTCAACTTTCAGAACATTGCGCAGGCCAAAAACAAAAACAAAAACAAAATTTGAAGCCTGCTTGCCAGTTAATGATGCTGCTTTAAATAAAATATAAATAGAGCCATTTGCTTAAGTGGACCCCTCTAGAACTCAATAAGAGTGCTAGCAGAAGGGTTAGGAAGCAGTGAATGTGTGTGTGTGTGTTTGCACGTGCACGTGTACTTTGGCCTGTACTTGCATGCTCAGATTAAGTAGACACTTTATGTTATTCATTCTCCCAGGCAGCTAGCAACCTGGTTGTAGAAAGAAAATATAGTCAGATGAATCATCTAAGAAGGAAGTATGTTTGGGATGCTAGAAAATATAGTCTAGACCAGTGCTTCTCAGATTTTAATGTGCACATGAGTCTCCTGGGAATCTTAAGATGCAGATTTTGACTCAGTAAATTGAGAGTGGGGGCTGAGATTGTACATCATAACAAGCTCCCAGGTGAGGCCCATGTTGCTGGTTCCAGGATCACATTTGAGTATCGAGGGTCTAGATTAGTGATTCTCAAACTTAAGTTTGCATTAGAATAACCTGGAAGGCTTATGAAGACAATCCCCAGAGTGTCTGATTCAGTAGGTCTGTGGTAGAGCCTGAGAATTTGCATTTCTAACAGGATACCACATGATGCTGATATGGGGACCCGCACTTTGAGAACCACTGGTCCAGACCATTAGTACTAAAAGTATTCAGAAAAGCTAATATGTTTGCAAGTTGATTCCCTAACATGGACTCCTATGTGTGCAGTTTCTCTTAACTAGGAAAGCTCAGTCCTCAGGAAAGTGCATGATGCCTATGGGGGTCCTATCCTGTGCTTGGAGAGGCCTTTTCTGGTTGCATTTCCCCACACCCCCATCACACTATCTTGTTTGATTTTCTTTGAAGTATTTATCATCATCTGAAATGGTTTTGTTGGATTTGTTTGTTCTATTGAGGTATAACTAACATATAATAATAAAATGCACAAGTCCTAAGGGTTCAATTCAATGAGTTTTGACAAATGAATACTCTATGTAACCTAGATCCCTACCAACATCTAGAACATTCCACTACCCCAGAAAACTCTTGTGCTCCCTTCCAATTGGTTCCTACTTCTCCTTCCTACCCCCAAACCCCAGCCCAGCAGCCATTGTTCTATCTTTTATCATCACAGATAAGTTTGCCTGTTCTTGTACTTCATATAAATGGCATTATAGAATGTACTCGTTCAGGTCTGGCTTCTTTCACTCAACGTAACGTCTGTGGGATTCATCTATGTTGATGTGTGAATCAGTAATTTCTTCCATTTTTATTTGTGTTAAGTAGTGTTTTATTATATAAATATATCACAATTTATTTCTCCATTCACCTGTTATTGCCCATTTGGGCTCTTTCTGGGTTTTGCCTATTATGAGTAAGGATGCTGTGAACATTCATGTACAAACCTTTTTGTGGAGATATGTTTCCTTTCTCTTGGGTAAATACCTAAGAGTGGGATTTCTGGTTTAGAGGATAGATGTATGTTTACCTTTATAGGAAACTTCCCAACAATTCTCTAATGTGGTTGTACCATTTTACACTCCCACCAGGAAAGTAAGAGAATTCCAGTTGTTCCTCCTCCTTGCCAACCTTTGGAATTTCCAGTGTTTTTAATTTTCATCATTCTGGTGGGCATGTCATTATATTTCATTGTGGTTTAAATTTGCATTTCCCTGGTGACTAATGATGTTGACTTGGAGTTTTTTTATTATATTTTTGTCTTATATGTATAGTCATGTCCTATTAGGATATATGCTAAGCAGTAACTTGTCTATTTTGTTTACCAATGTATACCCATTGGGGCAACAAATATTTTTTTCTTCAATATATATTTAATGAATGAAGAATGCCAGTATCAACATCCTACCAGCTTCTTAAGCAAATTGTATAACCGAGGGATATACTCAGCAACTCTCTCTGAAAAGGAAACAGCAAAAGCCTGCTTTGTGTCTGGAACCAGAGCACAAAATGACCAGCCACAACTACAGTCACAGAACCCCTGCCTGGCTCCCACAGGAAATGAAAGGTCATGGAGACTGTGTTATAAGCCTCAAACTGAGAGGCCAAATTACTGCTGGCCCTGTGTTGTAGGGACAGGCTGAAAATATTATCCAGACGTAGGAGGTAACATGGAAACTAAGTTAGGGGCAAAAGATCACCAATGGGAAAAAGTCAGGAGCAGAGGACTGAACTGTGCAGAGCATCAAAACAAGAATAGATCAGCACAAAACCAGCACTAGCCAGCTCAAGAGTGAAAATGAACCAGAATTCTAGTGAATTCATAGGGTTGAAGTCCAGAAGCTAGAAGCATAAGGCGATGTACTACAAAGAACCTTAAAAATTAGACAAAACTGCAGTGAGGAAGCAATGTTACCCAAGGTATCAGGAGTCTTTAAGATGTTCTTACTGGGCTTCCCTGGTGGCACGGTGGTTAAGAATCCGCCTGCCAATGCAGGGGACATGGTTCGAGCCCTGGTCCGGGAAGATCCCACATGCCGCGGAGCAACTAAACCCGTGCGCCACAGCTACCGAGCCTGCGCTCTAGAGCCCGCGAGCCACAACTCCTAAAGCCCACGTGCCTAGAGCCCATGCTCCGCAACAAGAGAAGCCACAACAATGAAAAGTCCGCACACCACAACGAAGACCCAACGCAGCCAAAAATAAATAAATTTATTAAAAAAAAATGTTCTCACCAAAAGGATTTCCAATCAAGATGGCAGGCTGCCTCACCACCTCCACTACCACCTCCCACCCCACTGCACTTACACAAAGAAGTGCAAGATAAAGTATTTTTTAAAGTCATATCAATATATTATTGAGCTCAAAACAAGGAAGGGCAGGTGCTAGAGATGAGTGGTAAGTGGGGACTAAAGCCACGTGAACCCTAGGAGTACCAGATCAGATTTGTATCTGAGCAGCTAGAGTCTTAACATACTTCTTGGGAAAGGAGCTGAGGCTGCAGATGCCCTACTTAGCAAGGAAGCAGGGATGGGATACTTCTAGTGGAGTGAAGACACCCAGCACCAAGAAATTAAACTAAAAACTGGTTTGTAATTGATAGATGCCATACAGTCCTGGCAGGAACAACTACAAAATTAAATTATCACCCCAGAGGAATGTCTCCATATCCCATGGCACACGCAAAACTTTGCACATGATCATTTCTGCCAAAGTCCGCCAACAAATATTCCAAAGCCCCACAAAGAGAAATCCCATCCGCGTTGCTACAGTTCAGTGTGAAAGGGGTTATACAGTAGATTGGACAAAAGGAGTAGGATCCATAAGCTAAGAATGGATCTCACTGAAACAGTAATAGGTGGCTTTGAAAAAGAACTGAATATAAATCCGAGAAATGAAAAATATAGCCATATAGTATTTTTAAAACCTGAAAGCATATGGTAAAATGCTCATAACCTTTGATCCAATAATTCTGCTTCTAGAAACTTATCCTAAGGAAATAATCTGGGATTCAAACAAAGATATATGTACAGAGGTATACACTACAGAGTTATTTATAAAGAAAAATCAGAAATACCGCAAATATCCAGTAATGGCGGAATGGTGAGAAAATTATGAGATGGAAGGGAAAGGGTGAATCTAGGTTAGGATTATGGAGCTTCATACTGTTAGCTGTGGGTCTAAGGGAGATCATTTCACCTTTCTCAGCTTTCCCCAGGACACTAATATCTACCTTCCAGGGTGGTTGTGAGGTTTAGTGATGGTGATATAAATGCCTGGTATATAGAATACCCTCCCTAAGTTGTAGCTAACGTTATCATTACACTCACAATGGAATACGATGATAATTACTGTGATGGTCACAAAGAATTTTGAGTGACCTGGCATATGAAACCCCCCCCAGAATACCAAACTATAAATGTGATATGATCTCATATAAGCCTTACAAAACAATTGGTTAGACGAAGGAACATTCACCAGAGGGTTATCTTCAATTATCTCAGGATAGAGGAATTATGGGTGATTTTTATCCTCTTCTCTATGCTTTTCTCTGTTTCCCAAGTTTTGTTTTTATCTTACAAAGAGTGTGCAATTCTTTAATAATTCATACAAAAATTCAGTCACTGCCCAGCTCTTAGAGGAAGTCTTTTACATTCCTCTTGTTGCCTTGGGAACCAAAACTAGTCTTGCTGGCTGCTGAGGATACAATTCAGCCAGGCCTGGAAGGTCCCTGGGGATCCAAGGGTGGCCAGTCACTGGGCAAGTCTGACCTGGAGCACTGTTACCTGAAGCTGTAACCAGGGTACAAGGACTCCTTGGCAGTCTTGTTGTCAAGGCGACGGAAATTGTATTTTGGACGGCAGTGATGGAACCACCTGTCCAGGTTGCAGTCCCAGTAGATCTCAATGCCCATGATTCCTCCCTGGGGAAGACAATGAGAGACAATCTCTAAGTCCCGCTGGACATGGGTTATGCAGCCATCAGACATCTCCCTACATAGTGATCACCACTGAAGGAAAAGTTGGCTTTTGAGGGAAAAAAAAAAATGCTGATTAAAAATTTCAGAGCCATAGGTGCAGCCCTATCTAACTCATACAACTAGTACTGTGGCAGCTACAAACGCATCTCCCTGCTCCTCCTCCCACCTGGAACACGCCACCGTTAAATTTATTTTCCTAAAATATAACTTTCAACAAACCACTCCTGTAATCAGACACCTGTAATATCCACCCCCCCATTAAAGTTTAAGCTGAAACTTGTTAGACTGGAATTCATCGTGCTCCATCACATCTTCTCTGCTTATCTCCCAATACACCCCTGGAGAAAGCTCTTGTTCCGAAATCTCTATGCTTTTCCCTAAACACACTTTGCATTTTCATTTCTTTTTTTAAAAAACAGCTTTATTGAGATACAGATGCCCACATAACTTGTGCATTTAACAGTTTTTAGTATATTCACGTATATGTGCAACTGCCACCACAATCAATTTTACAACATTTTCATTACCTCCAAAAGAAAACATGTAAACTTTAGTTACCACCCCTCTCTCAAGCACTAAGCAACCACTAATCTACTTTTTGTCTCTATAGAGTTCCTTATTCTGAACTTTCATATGAATGAAATCATATAATATATGATCTTTTATGTCTGGCTTCTTTCACTTAGCATGATGCTTTTAAAGTTCATCCATGTTGTAGCATGTGTCAGTACTTCATTCCTTACTGTGGTGGAAGAATATTCCATTGATTGAGCATACTACATTTTGTTTATCCATTCATTCTTTGATGGACGCTTGGGTTGCTTCCACCTTTTGGCTATTATGAATAATGCTGCTGTGAACGTTTATGTACAAGTTTTTGTGTGAACATATGTTGTCATTTTTCGTGGGTACATACTTAGGAGTGGAGTTGCTCGGTCTGCTTTGAATTTTTAAATCTTGGCCCTTGACCTTTTCTCCCAATGAAATGTTTCTTCCACTCACCTCTCTAGCTAAATCCTCCTCATCCTTCAAGACCCAGCAAACATCCTTGCCCACCCACTCAGCCACTCCTGTGCCCCTCAATTCATGGTGACCTTTCTCTTCTCTAAACTTCTAAAGAATCTGTTAATCTCTTACCTATACTTGGTACTTTTTTTTTCTACAAACATGTTTTTGAGTACTGACTATCATATTTCACTGAATCTTAGACACCATTGCTTGTAAGACACATAGGGTTTTTTATTTTTTCTTAATGTTCCTCTAAGAAAAAAATGCTGTCAATTAAACTGTGAGACTCCATCAACTGAAAGCACTTCCTGATTTTGAAACTATTAAAAGTGAAAAAAAGGTATGTCTTTGAATAAATGAAATCAGGCATTTCAAGACAGTATGCTAGATACTGAGGATACAGAAATGAGTAGCAAGGAGGCTCTGACTTGGAGAAAGGGGAAATAATGCAGAATAATCACAACTGCCATTTTTTTGTCAGGCACTAAGCCAAGCACTCTACATATTACAGTGAATATCTAATGCCTTTGTCACTTGGCATCCAATTTGCCTTCTTCTGGGAAAACTACCTGGAATTTCCTTGGGGACACACCTTTCCCAACTCTCAGTGGTTTGAATGGGGCTATGTCCTCTCCAAGCCCCAGGAGTGGGCACATGACTCAAGCCTGGCCAATCAGGACAGTGCTCCCTTCACAATCAATCTTGTGATTGATTCAGGATAGATATGTGGCCCAAGGTAGACCAATCAGAGCTCTTCCTGAGACATTTTGCCAGAACCATAGGAAAAGAAGTCCTCTACTGGCTGGGACCACTAGCTATAGAGTGTGAAAGTCTAAAGCAGCATTGTCTAATAGGATTTTCTGCGATGATGGATATATTCTATATTCATGCTGTATAGTACAATAGCCAGTGGTTATTGAATGCTTGAAATGAGGCTGGTATGACCAAAGAAATAAAATTTTAATTTTATTTAATTTTAATTAAGTTTAAGTCACTTCATGTGACTTGTGGCTACCATACTGGAGAGCACAGTGCTAGAGCTTTGGTGGCTTTGCTTTGACATGTGGAGAATATGCCTGAGAATGACATCATCATTAAGGAAATAATCAAGAGATGAAAGGAGTCAGATTCCTGAAGACATCATTTGAGTTCCTGGAGGCAGCTATGCCTAAATCTATCATACTCTTCATGCAATCAACAAATATTTATTGAGTGTCCCTTATGGGCTGAACATTACACAGAAATGAACCACCCCCCCGCCAAAAAAAAAAGCTAAATGTCCCTGCCATCATGGAACTTACATTCTAGTCAGGGAAAATAGACAACAGACAAATGGGTATGTAACATATATAGTATGTCAGATAATGCTAGGTGCCAGGGATAAAAATAAACATGGAAAGGGCCATAGGGCATGCTGGGATAGAGGTGGGAATTGTCGCTTTAAATGTAGCGGTAAGGGAAAGCTTCACTGAGCTTATATTTGAGTAAATATTGGAAGTAGGTGTAGGAGGCAGCTAATGCTATGTCTGGGACAGACTGTTCCAGGCAGAGGGGAACAGCAAGAGAAAACTCCCAAGGTAGGAAGATGCCTTGGGTATACTAGAATGTTCATTTTTCCTGGTCTTTTTACACAAGTTAATATGGTTCCTTTTTTGCCTAATCCACTTGAGTTTGGTTTCTATTATTTGCCCCCAAATTACTTTTTGATTCAGTTTTTGCTTACATCATTTGAGTTGGATTTCTATAACTTGCAACCAGAAGAATCCTGACTAATCCAAGTGTGGTAGTCTGAGTAATGGTCCCCCAAATATTCCTAATCCTAGGTCCTAATCCCTGGACCTCTGCATATGTTACCTGAAATGGCAAAAGAGACTGCAGATGTGATTAAGTAAGGATCTTGAGATGAGGAAATTATCCTGGATTATCTGGGTGGACCCTCTGAAGACACACTGGTCTTTATAAGAAGGAGGCAGAGCAAGATTTGACACAGAATAAGAAATCAATGTGACCACTGAAGCAAGATGCTGTGCTCCTGGCTTCAAAGCGGGAAAAAGGGGCTGTGAGCCAAGAAATGGAAGGAACGCAGTTCTAAAAGGTGGAAAAGGCAAGGAGATGGATTCTCCCCTAGAGCCTCCAGAGGGAGCATGTCTCTGCTGATATCTTGATTTTGGCCCAGTGAAACTCATTTTGGACTTCTGACCTCCAGTAGTATAAAAAAAAATGTGTTGTTTTAAGCCACAAAATTTGTGGTAATTTGTTATAGCAGGCACAGGAAACGAATACACTGAGTGTCTCTCATAGAGTTGTTGTGGGATTAGATAAGGTGATACAGGAAAAGTCCTTGTCACCATGCATGGATTTACAAAATGCTCAATAATTATGAGCATATTATTAAGACCCAGTGGTCCAGCCTCTTGGCCATTTGTCATCCTCCATCCCTTGACCTACCCCCCCACATCCCACTGTACAAAGACGTCACCAACCTGAATTGCCACATCTGAAAAATTATCTCCTGTTTCTTGGAAGATATCTCCTAGTCGGAAAATGGGACACTGTGGATTCTGAGTCTTGTGAAAGGTGCAAGTGACGTTTATATCCGGCAAGATGTTTCTCCTGCACATAATGGAAAGCAAACAAACAAACATCTCTATTGAAAACTGGGATCCATCTCTTTCATAGGAGTGAACCAATGTGGTACCCGGGCATCATGAGGGCCTCCAATGATTCTGCCTCCTGGGATTTACACCCTTGTGTATTCCCCTCTCATATCATACAGTGTTGGTCTCTGTGACCAATAGTATACGACAGAAGTGATAGTGTGTCTCTTCTGAGATTATATTATAAAATACAGGGGCTTTCATCTTGGTTACTGTCTCACTTGCTTGCTCTTTGGCTTGGATCTCTTGCTCTGGGAAAGCTGGCCACCGTGTCCTAAGGACACCCAAGCAGTCTGAAGGAGAGGTCCACATGATGAAGTACTGAGCCCTCCTGCTGACTGTTGTGTGAGTGAGCTTGGAAGAGTATTCTCCAGCCCCAGTCCAGTCTGGAGATGAGAGCTTGACTGCAACCTGAGAGACCCTGAGCCAGAACAGCCCAGTGAAGTCATACCCAGATGTCATTCTGGGATGCACAGAAACTACGTGAGAAAATTAAAGTTTGTTGCTTTTAGTTTCTAAGTGTTGGGGTGATTTGTTACACTGCAGTAGATACCTAATATAGCCAGACATTCTGGGTGCTTACGTGGTGTAGTTGTGGCTGGGGAAGTCAATGTTATTCTTGATGAGCACAGTGAAGTTTTCAGCACTGCCCAAGAGCGCAGGCCTGAAAGAGAGAAATGAAAAATGGGGATCAGTGACTACAGGGACCAAAGGAGTCAGTGGGCCAATGGACCAGAGGCTCTGGTTTCTTGCTTGGGTCAATATGATGGATGAAGAGAAATGCAATCCACTGGGAAAAACCTTCCAAAATTCTCCAGCTTCTCCAGGAAGAATTTCTCCCTTCTTAAGACCCCTGTGGAAGGAATTCCCTGGTGGTCCAGTGGTTAGGACTCAGCACTTCCATTGTAGGGGGCACGGGTTCGATCCCTGGTCAGGGAACTAAGATCCCGCAAGCCACGTGGCATGGCCAAAAAAACCACAAAAAACAAAAGAGACCCCGTGGCATTTACTGTAATACTTTTCACTCTGATTATATGTTTAGTTATGCACAGTGGTATGTTGGTAAACGTTTAATAACCAGCTCTCCAGGAAAACAAAAAGCCCTGATATTGTAGGAGTTACTGATTATTCTGGTATAAATACTCCCACCCTAGCTGATTTCAAGCTACCAATAGAACATCAGTGAACTTGGAGTTGGGAAGGGATGAGCAGAAATGGCTCAGAGCTGGTACAAGCCAGCTCCAGCACACTCCTGTTTGTATCTTTCACAATAGGCTTTGTGATCCTGCAGGGCTGAGATAACTTTCTCATCTTGGCATCCTCAGCCTTTAGCACAGGGCCACACATATATAATTGACTCTATCATTCACACTCTAGAGGCTCTGAGTAGCGTAAAATTCTCCATGAGTGAGAGGAGCCCAAATTCTCGACTGCTGGAAGGTCCACCCACCATCCATGCATTCATTCATTCATTCAACAAATATTTATTGTACTGGGCGTGGGGCTGAGCACTAGGGATGTAGTGATGAACAAGACAGTCGAGGTTTTTGTCCTTGTGGGGTTGACAATCTGTTAAAGATGGAGAGAACTGGCTCCATGAAAAGATACCACTGTTGCCTGACATGCCTGAGTAGGTGGCAGATGTATATTGGGAGAAGCACAGGCTAAAGGTGGAGGGTATTTGGAAGGGGACATCAAGAATGATCTGCTTTGGGGGACTTCCCTAGTGGCATAGTGGTTAAGACTCCGTGCTCCCAATGCAGGGGGCCCTGGTTCGATCCCTGGTCAGGGAACTAGATCCCACATGCATGCCACAACTAAGGACCCCGCTCGCTGCAACTAAGACCCAGAGCAACCTAAATAAATAAATAAATAAATATTAAAAAGAAGAAGAAAAGGACTTCCCTGGTGGCACAGTGGTTAAGAATCTGCCTGCCGGGCTTCCCTGGTGGCGCAGTGGTTGAGAGTCCGCCTGCCGATGCAGGGGACACAGGTTCGTGCCCCGGTCCGGGAAGATCCCACATGCCGCGGAGCGGCTGGGCCCGTGAGCCATGGCCGCTGAGCCTGCGCGTCCGGAGCCTGTGCTCCGCAACGGGAGAGGCCACAACAGTGAGAGGCCCGCGTACCGCAAAAAAAAAAAAAAAAAAAAGAATCTGCCTGCCAATGCAGGGGACATGAGTTTGATCCCTGGTCTGGGAAGATCCCACATGCCGCGGAGCAACTAAGCCCGTGCGCCACAACTACTGAGCCTGCACTCTAGAGCCCGCGAGCCACAACTGCTGAAGCCCGTGCGCCTAGAGCCCGTGCTCCACAACAAGAGAAGCCACCGCAATGAGAAGCCCGCGCACCGCAATGAAGAGTGGCCCCCGTTCACCGCAACCAGAGAAAGCCCACGTGCAGCAACGAAGACCCAATGCAGCCAAAAAAGAAAAAGAATGATCTGCTTTTTATTCCAGGACTTCCAGAGCCCAACTTTGGCTCTATTGGAGATGTAACTATAGAGAACACTGTAATTTTTGCCTGTCCAGCAACAATTCCCCCTTTGGCAGTAGCACCTCAATTTTCTCCCTTTGGGGAAGCCAGGTCTCTTCCACTCTCAGCCCACTCTCATCTCCTGCCCATCCCTACAGCTCCCAGGGTGGGCAAGTGATCCAGAGCTGGTTAAACAGTGTAATCCAATCCCTTGACTGCAGTGATCAGTTCATAGATTGTCACATGCCTTAGGCCACTGAGAACATTACAGGATTTTTGTGGGAACTGTTGGGAAAGAAAAACTCATTTTCTCTAGGATTATTAGTAGCAAAGACAGTGTAAACCTGGAGTACCCCAGACCAGAGTGTAAGGAGAGCCAGAATGGAAGAAAGAATAGTTAGGGGCTGGGGAGAGGAGGAAGGTGGAGGAAAAGAGAGAGAAAATCTTAAGACATCATTTGAAAGCCTCGATCAAGCCATGCCTGAAGCTAGTATTTCTGGACTTCTCATTTACATGAGTCAAAAACACAAGCCAAAAATTAACAGTCCTTTTTATCTGAAGCCCGTTAAAGTTGTTTTGTTTTTATACTTAAGCTTTTTAAAAATTTTATTTATTTTTGGCTGCATTGGGTCTTCGTTGCTGTGCGCGGGCTTTCTCTAGTTGCGACGAGCAGGGGCTACTCGTCGTTAAGGTGCACGGGCTTCCCACTGCGGTGACTTCTCTTGTTGAGGAGCAGAGGCTCTAGGCACGTGGGCTTCAGTAGCTGTGGCTCGTGGGCTTTAGAGCTCAGGCTCAGTAGTTGTGGCTCGCGTGCTCTAGAGCGCAGGCTCAGTAGTTGTGGCACATGGGCTTAGTTGCTCCACGGCATGTGGGTTCTTCCCGGACCAGGGCTTGAACCCATGTCCCTGCATTGGCAGATGGATTCTTAACCACTGCGCCACCAGGGAAGCCCCCCAGTTAAAGTTATATTTGTCCCTTGCACACACAAAAAATCTGATTTACAACAGATGCCTGCTATATGCCAGACCCTTTGCCTTTAGAACATTCTAAACCCCACACTTCCTGGGCAATACTCTAAGAATCAAAGGACTACAGGATCCCCTTTATTCCTCTTTCATGACACGTATAATTTTCTATTATGAATTACAGCCCTCTGTACATGTGTCTTATCTCTTCTATCGGTTTGGCCAATAAGTTCGTTCGGGTTTTTCTGTACAATGTTACGAAATACCCAAACGAAGTTTTTGGCCAACCCAATATTAGATTGCAAGAGTCTTGGGACCTGCTGCATATCTGGGTCTTCTTGTATTTTACAAAAAATTTAGCACTGCCTTCATTGTGTATGGTTACATGTAAAATAAATATCTAACACCTACTACATGGTAATGGATGTGTTAGACGAACAATTAAATGAATCATCTAAGTAATCCATTCGTATAACATCTAAGAAACTAAAGTTCAGGGAGTTACTTGCCCAGGGTCATGTAAAATTGCAGCCCAGGGCCCAGAACATTAGAGCTACACAGTATTTATCTGATGAATGAATGGCGGCAGAGCCAGGACTGAAAACCACAGGCAATCGAGAAGCCTCTTGCCTTGAACTAGGGACTCCTTGAATGTAGGCTGATGTCCCACCCAGGTCCTGAACATTCATTCAGTGACAAAGAAACTTCCCTGACCTACAAATGAACCAGGGTTGTGCCATTAACGATTGAGGGCCGGATGGGCTGATACTGCCTAGTGCTTCGCATCCTGACGTAAGAAACTTCTGCCTGAACCTTCTAAAAAGTCAGTTTGGGGAATTCTTCTCTTTGCCCCAGAGATGCTGATAGTGTGGCCCTGAGTCACATTTGTCTTGAGCTGCACTGTCCAATATAGTCCAACATCTCCTAGGCATTTGTGGCATGTGTGACTATTTAAGTTAAAGTAAAGTAAAAATTCAGTTCAGTTGTGGTAACCACATTTCAGGTGCTTAATAGCCACATGTAGCTAGTGGCTACCATATTGGATGGTGCAGGTACAGAACCTTTCCATCATTGTGGAAAGTTCCATTGGACAGCGCTGGTCTAGAACCACCACATGTCTAGGGGCAGATCATCTGTGTGTGTGTTATTGGGCATTTACTGTGTGCCAAGCACAGGGCTCACTTTGCAATCACTGTACAAGTATTATCTCATTTAGTTCTCACAACAGCCCAGTGAAGTAGGTGCAATTATTATCCTCATTTTAGTTTTTAATTTTTTGGCCCCGCCAAGTGGCACGTGGGATCTTAGTTCCCTAACCAGGGATTGAACCCGTGCCCCCCTGTGTTGGAAGCTCGGAGTCTTAACCACTGGACCACCAGGGAAGTCCTATTACCCTCATTTTAAAGACAAGGAAACTGAAGCTCAAAGAGGTTAAGCCACTTGTTCAAGGTCACACAGCAAGGATGTGTTAAAGCCAGGATTTGAATCCAGCTCTCCTTATTCTCTGCTGAAATGCAGCCCTCCCAGTGGTTTCTGAGATTTAACATCAAGTTCTGCCCTCTGGGCCTGACCTTTTGTGTTAAAGAGAAGAGCCAATACAGGGGACCACCAAATCTGTATGTCACTATGAACATTTAATTTAAGAAAACTGCCCTCCCCTTCCATTCCTTTTCCTTCCTTTTCTTCTCCCTTCCCTTCCTCTTCCTTCCTTTTTCCTTTTTCCCCTCCCTCCCTCCCACCTTCTCTTCCTTAATCACTCAGTACAGACACTGGCAGTCCGAGAGGATCCTGCTGTAGCACTGGAGGAGGTACCTGGGGGTGCCCTGGAAGGTACTGGGACAGCCAAGGGACAGGGGCACCCAAGGGTGTTGAAGGTATTAGCTATTTACCAGTTGTTATGGAATGACTTCAGTATTTTAACAACTATCAGGGGCCTCCCAGAGACCACTAGTGTGCCTGGCACAGGAGCCACCAAGCCAGTAAGCCCTGGGACTTGGGGGGACGGTGCTGAGAAGGGAAGTCGGAACAGTGCCTGGCAGAACCTCATCTGCTCAAAGCTGAGGGCCACCGTGTCTGTCCCCTCCCTACAACTCACTCTGGGGCCTTTTCTGCTGCCTCCACGGGACACCAGGCGGAGACTTCACAGGTCTTCTGCTTCCCTTTATACTCTATACACCTGCCGGTCTGGATTCCTGTGGGGGTCAAGGGGTCGTAGAAGCACATGTATGAAAGAACGGGGGTGGGGGGGGTGGGGGGGGAGGAAACGCCACTCAACTCAAGCAAGAGACTATGTTTTTCAACCCAAGCGTTTCAGTTTCCATGAAACCCATCCAAACCACAAACTTACATAAGAAAAATCAAGCAAGCAACACATAGAACAGTAAGCTTTTCAAAAAAGGATCAAAAAGAACACAGAAAGACCGTGGATGCTGTTCGATTATTTTGGTTTCTTTGCAAGAAAAGATGGCTGATGGGGGAGCTGAACAGGGTATATTCTTTTGCCTCGTATAAATGGACTAGAACTTGGCTTCTAAACAGGCATCTGAGTCCCTCCAGGTGCATACAGCATGTACCAGGATGTACAGAGCCATGGAGTAAGCATGGCACATCTTCCTGGAGTATCAGTGTCATTAACAAATTTTTGAGGGGAAAGTTAAATAGTAAATAATATTAATGACCTCTCCACCAACTCAAATGCATATGTATTATGGGATGGAATTGAATATTCATATGCTTTTTTGTGTACAGGTGTATTATAAACAATGATGGTTTTTACTTTTTCTTTTTTGTGGTAATTTTTTTATTACGTGCCTTAAGTTAAAACAAGAGCTTTGGAAATTCTGAAGGTTAATATTGTCCCCAGGTGCCCTGGGGGTGCACATTCATCCTTTTCAACCTTTGGGGAAATTCAAGAGGAAACACTTAGAACACTCAGATGATGCTATGGGCCATTCAGCTTTTCTATCAATGAGAAACCTGAAGGGGCTAATTCTGCAAGGTTTTCAGGAGCTGCTCTCACTGGGAGTTAGAGTCACATTCATAGTCAGCAGTTGGTCCTCTGGGTTCAGAGTCGAGGCATGGGGCAGGTACAGGCTCATCCATGGCCTGGGGAGGGTGGACGAAGGCAGCTGAGAGCCAGAGGCTAAAAATCTGGGCATCTCGAATGTCACCAAGGTTCTAGACCATCCACCCACGGGGTCTCAGGAAAAGAAACAGAACATACCTTTGCTCTTTGGGCCCATCCATCCCTTTTTACAACCCTGGTCAGAGGTACAGAGCGTCCTGCGGGTGGGGTACTGCAGAGAGAAGGACAAGGTAGTGGGGAATAAGCATCGTGTGTCCCTGCGATACAGAAGGGCAGATGTCTATGTCCACACAAAAGCTTGCACATAATGCCGAAAAAACGGGACAGCCCAAATATCCACCCGTAGATGAATGGACAAGTAAAATCCAGGACATTCATCCAGTGGAATGTTATCTGGCTGGCCACAAATACGAATGAATGAAGTACTGGTACCTGCTACGATGTAGATGAAACTTGAAACATGATGGATGCTAAGTGAAAGAAGCCAGATACGAAAGACCACATATTGTATGATTCTGTGTATATGAAATGTTCAGAACAGGCAAATCCATGGACAAAAGCGTGATCAGTGGTCGCAGGGGCTGAGGGAAGCGGGAATGGAAGTGACTGCTAATGGGTATGAAGTTTCATTTTGGAATAATGAAAATGTTCTGGAAACTGTTAGTGATAATGGCTGCACAGCTCAGTGAATATACTAAAAACCACTAAATGGTACACTTTAAAACGGTGAATTTTATGGTATGTGAATTACATCTCAATAAAAAATAAAAATTAATGAAATTCTAAGAAGCGTATGCCAGGGGCCACTTTCGGGGACAACCCTTGTGTTGGAGAGCAGGGGGCCTGGTTCAAGCAGCCCTGTGGCTCCAGAAACAAGTGAAGCAGACAGGCACAAAGTCTCAGCAGGAAATGTGGAAATAAAGGACTCCAGCCAGCACTCTCTCCTGGCCTAAGAAAATGAGGTCAATCAGCTTTCAATAAGAGCTGAGGACAGAATGAGGAAAAGAAAAATGAGATGACTTGGTTTATGCATACTCGGCTTCCCATTTTTCAGGGACCAGGTTTACCGGCCCATCTTGGGGAAACCAGAAGCTCTGTGAAAATAGCCTCTTCTGTGCAATTTTACAGAGCTTCAGGGGAGTCCCCAGGCTTGGACCCAGGTACAACCAGGTTCAGCAATAGCTGCACCATTTTCTAGCTGAGTGGCCTCAGCCAAGGAACTTTGCCTCTCTGAGCCTCAGTTTCCTTCCCTGTAAAAGGGAAATGAACAGATTTGTCTTATATGGTTTTTGTGAAAATTAAATGAATTATGATGAGAAAGGGTTTAGCACATGGCTCTTGTTCAGTGAACGTTTCCTGTAGTTTTCAATCTCTTTCATGTTCTCTTTTCTTCCCAAGTTGCTTTCTTCCTGTTACCCAGCATGTCCTTGGTTTGCTACCCTTGTGACCTCCAACTACACTATGAACCGTTTGAATACAAGGCCTGGGTCATATCTTTGTAGTTTGAGTGCCTGACACATAGTGGGTCTTGATGAATGTGGAATGAAATGAATGAATGAACAAATGATCATTTACTGTGGCTCATGGGAAGCTATGTTGTTTTGATTATTGACTGGAAAGAAATCTCAGGAAAGAAGATAAACTGACTCTATTTTACTCTCCAAAAGAAATTCCAAAATTAAAAGAAAATAAAGACGTGGGACTTCCCTGGTGGCGCAGTGGATAAGACTCTGCGCTCTCAGTGCAGGGGGCCCGGGTTTGATCCCTGGTCAAGGAACTAGATCCCACATGCATGCTGCAGCTAAGAGTTCGCATGCCGCAACTAAGGAGCTAGCGAGCCGCAGCTAAGACCCAGTGCAACCAAATAAATAAATAATAAATAAATAAATATATTTTTTTAAAAGACGTTTTAATCATCTCTTTTTGTGGTTGTCACATGCGTTGATGATGGCCACAAATTCTTTGTCGCTCTTGCCATTGGGAGGTAGAGGGTTTCCCCTTCCCTTTGAAGCTGGGCTGGCTCTGACCAAATAACCAACAGAAGGCAGTGGAAGTAATGCTGTGTCAGCTCTAGTACTGAGCCTGGGAGGCCTGGAAGCTTCTTTTGGCTTGGGGGAACCTGAGCTGCTATGAGGAAGTTTAGAAAGACTATGCGGAGAGACTCTGAAAGGAGGAGAAGCCTTGAGAGTCCCCGGAGAGGAAGAGAAGGCCAGCCATCCCGGTACCCCAGCTGAGCCTCCGAATGGTGCTAGCCCCAGCCGCTATCCGACTGCAGCGCCGTGAGAGATCCCATGCAGATCCCAAGATCAGCAGAACTGCCCAGCTAAGGTCAGTCAACCACTGAACTGAGCTCATAAAATGCTTGTTGCTTTAAGTCCACCAGGTTCAGGGTAGTTTGTTATGCAGCAATAGATAATTATAACCAATGTCTCTTCATTTTGGTGTACCGCTGGGGTTTGGCCACATTTACTGAGTCAAGCCCTGTCCTTGACTTCCACCTCTTGATCAGAGTTAGGGTGGGTGTCAGTATGCAAAGAGAGGAGGCGAATATCCCATTAGAGCAACCCAAACCAGCTTGGGTCACAGGTTAAAATCCCAAGAGTTACATAGTGTTCTCTGGGCTGCTCTTTGAGTTCCAGTCAGTCTGAGTGACATCCTGTCTGAGAAAGAGTAACTTGTCATTTGAACCGTCACAGCTCGCATTTATCCAGTGTTTACAATGTATCATGCCTTGTTTCCAGCCTGTCACAGAGATTCGCTCATTTGTTTCAAAAATCCTAAGAGCTAGGTTTTGTAATTAGCCCCATTTTGCAAATGAACCTATCAAGGTACAGAGTGGTGAAGCCATCTGCCCAAAGTCACAAAGCTAATACGTCAAGTATTAAACCATTTACAGTCTAGCTCCTAAATCCAGGCTCTGGGCTACCCTAACTGTCTTCCTTACCACTCTCAGTAACTTGAAAAGTGCTGTGAGGGACTTCCCTGGTGGTCAAGTGGTTAGGACTCCGAGCTCTCACTGCTGAGGGCACGGGTTCAACCCCTGGTCGGGGAACAAAAATCCCACAAGCCGCAGCAAGCCAAAAAAAGAAAAGAAAAGAAAAGCATCTGTGCAAAGTACCACAGGGGTGGAGGGTAAGTAGCAATTCCAGAGTATGGGACAAAAGGGAAGCAAACTGGCCCCAAACTGGATACAATTTTGGATGCTGCCGGGAAGGGAGGTGGGAGGGAGTGTTTAGTTGGACTGACGCCCGCTACTTCGTTAGAGTAGCAGGAACATTTAAGGGGAGATGGGGGCAAGATAAACATAGAGAGGTCTCCTTTTAGGGGAACGTTATTGAGATAGACACCAAGGGAATGTTAGCTTGTTTCCAAGTTTAGGTAGAAATGACGCCAAAGACTGTAATGAGATAGAGCTTATCCACCCTGATCTCTCAGACACTCAGAAATCTAGGCCTTGTCACCAGAGTAGGCTGACGAGCAAGACCCACAGGCAAGGCTGGTCTTCCCCACAGGCTGGGGACCCGCTCAATATTGCCACAGCGTTGTGCCCCTCAGTTGGGACGGTCCCTGGTAAAGCGCAGGTGTGTTACTCGAGAGGGGAACAGCAGGAGTGTGTTGCCTAGACAAATTTTGCTATAGACAAACTTACCAGAATAGCTAGTTATCATTTTACAGAGCAGAGAGCAGGACTGGGATGGGACAGAATAGGACCAGTATGTTTTGATAGGGAAGAAAGTTTTCCAGAAAAAGTAGGGGAAGGTGGAGAGTACGGAGAGGGCAATGCTCCTATGTCTCCCGCCTTCACCACTACCCACTCCCGCCTTCACCACTACCCACTCCCGCCTTCACCACTACCCACTAGCCATGTCTCCCGCCATCACCACTACCACCCATGCAGTCTGGGAAAGACTGCATGGGTGGTAGTGGTGACGGCAAGAGACATGGGAGCATTCCTACCTGATATAGAGCCTAAAACTCTAAGAAGTGGGATGAAAAATCAAACTTGATTCCCAGGCTGGCCCTGCAGGCAGTTCACAGTGGACCGTGGCAGAGGCTGTGAACGAGGACAACTGGATTCTAAGCTTGGCTCTGCCTCCAGCAAGCTGTGTGACATCGGGGAGGTCACTGAACCTCTCTGATCTTTGTGCTGACCTGTAAAATGGGGCTGGGAATGCTGTTACCCCCCTGAAGTTGAAGTGAGGCTCCACTGAAACATGAGGTGCTGTGCAAAGGTCAAGGATCCCTGTTGTCATGAGCTGCACAGGGAGTGAGCGATGGAGAAAGCGGGCCTTGAGCTGCACAGGCTCCTAGTGCTGGAGCTGGAGACCCAGGGGGACAGATCGAGATCTGGTGGTTACAGAGGGAGAACTACAACATCTTCTCACCCTTTCCACCCAGCCCAGATCTACACCCCTGCTTTGTAGCAAGCAGAGGCTCAGTAAATATTTGCAGGCTCCAAAACACGCCTGGTGTAAGTTTCCATTTCCTCTGACCTGTGTCTCCTCCAGGAACTCTTGTCACTCATCACATCTTACCTCAGGACACAACCCTTGCTCTTGGCCTTCTATCTTGAGAAAGTTTGTCATCACAAAAAAAGAGTTGCCCTGCAGAGAAAAAGGAGAGAAGGCAAATGTAAAGCCATTGAGAACAGAACTACTTAATCATAGTAATCCAGCTGGCCAAGTGCCTGGGGGCAAACCTTTCCACTCTTCTAAGTTTCAGTCTAGAAATCAGGATCTGGAAGCAACTGACAGCCCTGAGGCCTAATATCAAAGCTGGATGAGCCGCCCTGCTGAGCTGAGGGAGAGCAGAACAGTTCAAATTGATTGAGCATTGGTTTTCCATTCCAGCCTCAAAAGCAGCCTTTTCATTTTTTGGACACAGTGAAATCCCATTAAGTTGAAATTCAAGAGACCTGGGGAGGCGGAGGTGGAGGTGTCACCTCCATCAGAACGCTGTTCAGATTATCCAGGACTTTAATGAAAGGGCAGTAGGTCATACCACCACCTGGGAAATAGCTGGAGGTTTTAATGACCCACTGTTAGAGACAAAAACGGATAGCAGCTTGGCTTTTATGGTTTCGAAAAGCTTTCCAGCTCCCAAGGGCTGCCAACGTGCCCTTTTGTCCCTCCAACCCCCATCTGTTCTTTTTTGTTCTCAACCCCACTTCAGTTTCTCCCTTTTGAGCATTCTACTTTCATTTTCTCTTCTTGCAAATTGAGACAATCTCATGCCCTTTCTCTGTGAGCCACACCCTTCCTTTCCCTTGTGCAAAACTGTACCCAAGAGTGTTTTTCTGGAGACATTTTTGTTGATAAAATGTCACACAAACAATATAGAAGGGCTGGTCCCCTCTAGGCAGAAAGTTCTTTACCTTTCTGGATCTAGGCAAAGTTTGCTGACTTGATGGCCCTGCTTCTGAAAAACTGTGTATAAATCAAGTGTGAGTGAATCAAATCATGTTTTCAATGCACCAGGACACACTGCTATTTTGAGAAACCCTGTAGGACTTGATAAAGCAAAGAATCATCTCCTTCGAGTTGCTGGATCTGACCCAATTTTGCAATTTTTAGGTTTTCTCAGTTGGGATTTTCATAGAGCTTTTTAAATGGGGCCAGTGTTTTTCTGGAGTGAGGCTCTAGGTCCCAGGGAGGGGTGCGAGGTCCTGGGGACAGTGACCAGGGACGATTCCTGAGAGGATGCTGGTAAGTGCTCACCTGCAAGGGGACAGTGTAATCTGCCGTGTCGAAGACATTCCACACTACCTTCTTCAGTCCGTTCTCCATAATCTCCTTTTTCACCTTTGCCACCCCTTTCACCTTGGCATGCACAGAACTGATGACAGGTTCTTTCCATTGGTACAGCCTGTCATTCACCAAAGCAAAGCTAAATGGCAGACACAGAAAAGCATCAATGGTTTTCTCAAGTGAGGCACAGTGCATTGGTTTTGGATGCAGGTTCCGAAAGTCATCTCCATTAAAATCCTAGCTTTGCTGGGTGACTTCGGGCAAGTGACTTGCCTTCTCTGTGACTCATTTTCCTTACCTGTAAAATGGGAAGAATAGTCATACCTACCTCATAGGGTTGTTGTGAGGATGGAACAAGATATGCATGCAAACTCCATAGCGCTATATCTGGAGCATAGTGAGCTTTCACTACATAGAAACTATTGGCCCCAATACCAACCTCTAATACTGCCTAATATACACCCTAATTTATAGGTTGCCTTCTCAAATACCAAAGTCCACCCCAGGCTGGTCCACCAGCTTTGTTTTGGGACTCAGTAACACATGAGCATCTTTTTAAGGGTGTGTCCAGCAGGTCAGCCTCCTGTCTTCCAGAAACACCCACCTGATTTACAAATAATATTGATAATAGCAGCTACCCTTTATTGAGCACTTAGTACATGCCATGTGCTCTGTATGCATCCTCTCCTTTAATGTTCACAACAGCACTAGGAGATAGCGGCTGTAATCATCACCCTTTTGTAGATGAGGGAGTGAGCTCAGAGAGGTGCAGGAACTTGCCCAAGGTTACACAGGTAGTCAGTGGCAGGACTGAGGTCCTTGATTGGTCTACCTTATAGCCCAGAGCCAGACCTCTTAGCCATGTGCTATACTTGTACCTGCATCATGTGGCTCTGCCTCTGGTTTCCTGCCTTTTGATCCATTCATTAGCTGTTAATATCTTCTTTAGAATACGAATCTAAATTATATGGTGGGGGGGAAGAGAGGGAGAAAGTGGAATTGATAACTAAAAATGGTAGATTCCATCCCCATTTATCTCTTTTCCCTGTCTCCCATTGCCCTGAATAATTGAGTTTATTTTATTTTTTATTTTGGGGTTTTTTTTTGGCCATGCCATATGGCACATGGGATCCTAGTTCCCTGACCAGGGATTGAACCCACGCCCCCATGCAGTGGAAGCATGGAGTCTTAACCACTGGACTGCCAGGAAAGTCCCTTAAGAGTTTATTTTAAATGCTTTGTTTATTCATTTGGCAGGTACCTATTTTGGTCTCTTCCCTCTGCTCAGTCTCTGCTATCTGAATGATATTAGGAAGTCTAAGCCAATGGCTGCCCTCTATGAGCTGACATTGGGAAACCAAGACACAGTGGGCCAAGGCTTGGTCCCAGCCGTTCTCAACCTTGGCTGTACAGTATAATTACTTAGGGAGCTTTCAAAATTGCAGCTCCCCAGTCTTATCCCTGGAAACTCTGATTCAGAAGGTCTGGAGAGTTAACCAGGTACCTATATATTTTTCTAAAGTTGATTTTAATGCACTGCCAGGGTTGAGGACCCGTGGGACACTCACGGAAAGACAGGTCACATTTGGCAATATGAAGTACTGTACATTTGAAATGCATTCCCCACGCCCCAACAATTCCACTCTTAGGTACATGCCCCAGAGAAACCCTCAAACATGTGCCCAAGGAGTCATATACAAGAAAGTATAAAGTTGTACTATTTGTAATAGGGAAAACTGGAAATAACCTAAATGTCTTTGAACATTGAATGGGTGAATAAATTGTTGGATTCATCCAATGGGATGTTCTGCAACAGTGAAAATGAATGGAGAGCTGCTTGTATCAATATGGAAATAACATAATATTGAGTAAACAAAGCATGCCACAGAATGAGAGAAAGTTTAAAGAAATTCAAAAAACATTATATACTTAAACAAATACCTGTCCACGCATATTCATAGCAGCACTATTCACAATAGTCAAAAGGTGGAAACAATCAAAATGTTCATTAAAAGATGAATGGATAAACAAAATGTGGTCTATCCAAACAATGGAATATTATCTACCCACAAAAAGGAATGAAAGGATGCACATGTTATACTGTGGATGAACCTCAAAAAACATTCTGCCAAGTGAAAGAAGACAGACACAAAAGGCCACTTAGTGTATGATTCCACTTATATAAAATGTCCAGAATAGGTAAATCCATTGACACCAAGAGTGGATTTATGGCTGCCAGGGGCTGGGGAAAGAGGTAAATTGGAAGTAACTGCATAATGAAGTTTGCGTTTTGGGAGATAAAAATGTTTTGGAACTAGATAGAGGTGGTGGTTGCACAGCATTGTGAAGGCACTAAATGCCACTGACTTGTTCACTTTAAATCGTTAATTTTTATGTTCTATGAATTTCACCTCAATTAAAAAGGGAAAACAGAAAACTCCCACAAGCCTCTTAGATAGATAGCCTCATCCATCAGAGGGCAGACAGCAGAAGCAAGAACTACAATCCTGCAGCCTGTGGAACAAAAACCACATTCACAGAAAGATAGACAAGATGAAAAGGCAGAGGGCTATGTACCAGATGAAGGAACAAGATAAAACCCCAGAAAATCAGAATAATGATAGTGAAGATGATCCAGGACCTCGGAAAAAGAATGGAGGCAAAGATCGAGAAGATGCAAGAAATGTTTAACAAAGACCTAGAAGAATTAAAGAACAAACAAACAGAGATGAACAATACAATAACCGAAATGAAAACTACCCTAGAAGGAATCAATAGCAGAATAACTGAGGCAGAAGAATGGATAAGTGACCTGGAAGACAGAATGGTGGAATTCACTGCTGTGGAACAGAATAAAGAAAAAAGAATGAAAAGAAATGAAGACAGCCTAAGAGATGTCTGGGACAGCATTAAATGCAACAACATTCGCATTATAGGGGTCCCAGAAGGAGAAGAAAGAGAGAAAGGACTCGAGAAGATATTTGAAGAGATTATAGTCGAAAACTTCCCTAACATGGGAAAGGAAATAGCCACCCAAGTCCAGGAAGCACAGAGAGTCCCATACAGGATAAACCCAAGGAGAAACACGCTGAGACACATAGTAATCAAATTGGCAAAAATTAATGACAAAGAAAAATTATTGAAAGCAGCAAAGGAAAAATGACAAATAACATACAAGGGAACTCCCATAAGGTTAACAGCTGATTTCTCAGCAGAAACTCTAAAAGCCAGAAGGGAGTGGCATGATATACTTAAAGTGATGAAAGGGAAGAACCTACAAACAAGATTACTCTACCGGCAAGGATCTCATTCAGATTCGATGGAGATATCAAAAGCTTTACAGACAAGCAAAAGCTAAGAGAATACAGCACCCCCAAACCAGCTCTACAACAAATGCTAAAGGAACTTCTCTAAGTGGGAAACACAAGAGTTTCCCAAACAAAACACAAATGTTTTGTTCCCACAAAAACAAACCCAAAACAATTAAGAAAATGGTAATAAGAACATACATATCAATAACTACCGTAAACGTGAATAGATTAAATGCTCCAACCAAAAGACACAGGCTCGCTGAATGGATACAAAAACAAGACACATATATATGCTGTCTACAAGAGACCCACTTCAGACCTAGGGACACATACAGACTGAAAGTGAGGGGATGGAAAAAGATATTCCATGCAAATGGAAATCAAAAGAAAGCTGGAGTAGCAATGCTCCTATCAGATGAAATAGACTTTCAAATAAAGAATGTTGCAAGAGACAAGGAAAGACACTATATAATGATCAAGGGATCAATCCAAGAAGAAGAAATAACAATTATAAATATATATGCACCCAACATAGGAGCACCTCAATATATAAGGCAACTGCTAACAGCTATAAAAGAGGAAATCAACAGTAACACAGTAATAGTGGGGGACTTTAACACCTCACTTACACCAATGGACAGATCATCCAAGCAGAAAATTAATAAGGAAACACAAGCTTTATATGACACAACAGACCAGATAGACTTAATTGATATTTATAGAACATTCCATCCCAAAGCAGCAGATTACACTTTCTTCTCACGTGTGCACGGAACATTCTCCAGGATAGATCACATCCTGGGTCACAAATCAAGCCTCAGTAAATTTAAGAAAATTGAAATCATATCAAACATCTTTTCTGACCACAATGCTATGAGATTAGAAATCAATTACAGGGAAAAAAACGTAAAAAACACAAACACATGGATGCTAAACATACGTTACTAAATAACCAAGAGATCACTGAAGAAATCAAAGAGGAAATAAAAAAATACCTAGAGACAAATGACAATGAAAACATGACGATCCAAAACCTATGGGATGCAGCAAAAGGAGTTCTAAGAGGGAAGTTTATAGCTATACAAGCCTACCTCAAGAAACAAGAAAATCTCAAATAAACAATCTAGCGTTACACCTAAAGGAACTAGAGAAACAAGAACAAACAAAACCCAAAGTTAGCAGAAGGAAAGAAATCATAAAGATCAGAGCACAAATAAATGAAATAGAAACAAAGAAAACAATAGCAAAGATCAATAAAACTAAAAGCTGGTTCTTTGAGAAGATAAACAAAATTGATAAACCATTAGCCAGACTCATCAAGAAAAAGAGGGAGAGGACTCAGATCAATAAAAATAGAAATGAAAAAGGAGAAGTTACAACAGACACCGCAGACATACAAAGCATCCTAAGAGACTACTACAACTACAAGCAACTCTATGCCAATAAAATGGACAACCTGGAAGAAACAGACAAATTCTTAGAAAGGTATTACCTTCCAAGACTGAACCAGGAAGAAATAGAAAATATGAACAGACCAATCACAAGTAATGAAATTGAAACTGTGATTAAAAATCTTCCAACAAACAAAAGTCCAGGACCAGATGGCTTCACAGGTGAATTCTATCAAACAAGAGAAGAGCTAACATCCATCCTTGTCAAACTCTTCCAAAAAATTGCATAGGAAGGAAAACTCCCAAACTCATTCTGTGAGGCCACTGTCACCCTGATACCAAAACCAGACAAAGATACTACAAAAAAAGAAAATTACAGACCAATATCACTGATGAATATAGATGCAAAAATCCTCAACAAAATACTAGCAAACAGAATCCAACAACACATTAAAAGGATCATACACCATGATCAAGTGGGATTTATCCCAGAGATGCAAGGATTCTTCAATATACACAAATCAATCAATGTGATACACCATATTAACAAATTGAAGAATAAAAACCATATGATCATCTCAATAGATGCAGAAAAAGCTTTTGACAAAATTCAACACCCATTTATGACAAAAACTCTCCAGAAAGTGGGCATAGAGAGAACCTACTTCAACATAATAAAGACCATATACGACAAACCCGCAGCAAACATCATTCTCAATGGTGAAAAACTGAAAGCATTTCCTCTAAGATCAGGAACAAGACAAGGATGTCCACTCTCACCACTATTATTCAACATAGTTTTGGAAGTCCTAGCTATAGCAATCAGAGAAGAAAAAGAAATAAAAGGAAAACAAATTGGAAAAGAAGAAGTAAAACTGTCACTGTTTGAAGATGACATGATACTATACATAGAGAATCCTAAAAATGCCACCAGAAAACTACTAGAGCTAATCAATGAATTTGGTAAAGTTGCAGGATGTAAAATTAATGCACAGAAATCTCTTGCATTCCTATACACTAATGATGAAAAATCTGAAAGAGAAATTAAGGAAACACTCCCATTTACCCCTGCAACAAAAAGAATGAAATACCTAAGAATAAACCTACCTAGGGAGACAAAAGACCTGTATGCAGAAAACTATAAGACCCTGATGAAAGAAATTAAAGATGATACCAACAGATGGAGAGATATACCATGTTCTTGGATTGAAGCAATCAATATTGTGAAAATGACTATACTACCCAAAGCAAGCTAC